CTAATTAAGAAGAAAATATCAATCTAACTAATATTGAAGATGTTATCATTAGAGATCTATTATATATATAACACAAAGATCGACAACCTAAAAGATACAAGTCTGATAGTAAATTACTAAAAAAGATGACTGGAAATAGCAATAATTTTAATACACAAGAAGAGCATTATGAAATTGATAACATTTCATATAAAAAGTTAGTTTCATACATTGTTTTCGATATTTATGATGGAGAAATTTGATGTTGCCTTAATTATGAAAAACCTGCAAGTTGGCTTTGGTTTCTTCATCAGCTTATTAAAACTTGGAAATTAGATGAATCAGTTATTGACAAAAATAATTCTAAAAGTATAGTGTATACTCTTGGCATATATTCAGTACATTTTTTATTTGATCAAAATTGATTACATATCATAGTAGCAAAACAAGATCAGCCAATTGAAAGTAGTTATATCTGATTATGAAGATGTTTATTTTGCAATAAAGATTACTATTTTTTTAGTCAGGGTGTAACTTGTCAAGAACATTGCATTATTGCTCTTTTCAAATTTAGTATGATCTCTGCTAATCATCTCTCATACTGAAAATCAGCAAAATTTTCTAATTTTAATGCTTTTGTGAATAAATCTAAATTTCTTGTTAACTATTAAAAATTCTCAAGATTCTTCTTCAATTTTCACTTTTCTAATACTGTATCTAGCTATACACAAAAATTGGCTATAGATTTGGCCAAATAAAATAGTGAATTTTGCATAGTTTTTTTACCGATACAAATAAATTCTATAAAATCATAATTAGATATTTACATTCAATTTATATAATATGAAAAATTAAATTTGTTTTTTACTTTCACTTTTTCAATACTTTATCTGGCTATATATATAAAATTGGCTACATAGATTTGGCCAAATAAAATAGATAATTTAATGCTTTACTATGATTAATTTATAAAATAAATCAATTATTTTATAGTATTTTTATATAATAAAATAATTGAACTATTTTATAAATCTAAAATAGTAAATCATAAAATAAACCTATTATTGCATACTTTAT